GCTGCGCAGAAAACGGCCACATCCACGGACTGTTGTCTTTTTCTATACTGTGAGCGCCTGTGTTGACTAATGTCGGGTTTATGTAAGCGAGTAGTTCATATGCATTGGGTGTCCCCGTGTTAGCCGCGAACATTCGAATGATATATAACGGCGTGCGGCTAGTTGGAGAAAGTCGGTTCGGTCTGTTGTAGAGACGCGTACTGTTTCGTGATTGTTTAACGATTACGATCGCTGTTGCGACATTCGTTTATTATTAACTATTGTTGGCCGTTGGATAGGGATGGAATAGGAAAATTAAACGATAATCAATTGTGCCTGAATCACAATGACAGGTGGCAATTAGTAATGCGAAGGAGGAGTAAGGAGGAGGCAAGGAAATATAGTGATTCCCTGGAGCTTTAACACAAACAGCGAGTATCGTGTGACAATGCTGCCCCTATCCGAGTTTCTCTATTAAATGTTGAACGTCTAATTGTAATGAGAAAGTCGAACCGACAAGAATAATAGGAGATTGTCTAGAGAAGCCTTGGAAGTGCACTGTATTAGCAAATATTGATCGAAAATCGGCTTTGTTCAAGGTCTTCCTGGTGGTTTTTAATGACAGCTCTCCCCCCCCCCCCCAAAAAAAAAACTCCCCCTCCCCCTCCCACTAATCTGTCTACCAGATGTTTTAAATGCTTTATCGTGCGTGCGTATATGGGAATATAAAATTATCTAATTTATTCCATTTAACGTTCTTCCATAATAAAGTTGCTCAAAATATTAATTTATAATAAATTCTGCTCTCGTGCTCTATGATAAATTCATTCGATCTCTTTCAAGATTGGCAAACTGCTTTTTAATACTGTGCATTACCAATGTTTTGCTAATAATTATTGTACTTTTTACTACATTTTTAATCGACGAGTGAACTTATTTATTAGATATTCTTCTTCTTATTATTGTTATTATTATTTGTTGTTGTTGTTGTTGTTGTTGTTGTTGTTGTTATTATTATTATTTTAAGTATTCTAATTGAAACATAAATAGCAAAATATGGATAGATATATGTAAACATAAGCATGTAGATTATACATTTTAATTTTTCAAGTTATAATGAATGTTCGTGAAGTCATTGTCCGAGTTAAATAAAAGTAACTCGCAATACACTGCACGTACATTTGCAATATTCAAATTAGCCCGTCAAAGCAAATTTACGTCACTCGTGCAATTTTATAAAGAAACATATAGTTTTCTTTTTCTTTTGTTAAGATAAAATTTCCGTTTATAACTCGCGCGACATTATTATATTTTAATGTTCGCCATGGCTTTAAATGAAAAATTAATTTACATATTATTATTTCAATATTTATTTAATTTGTTTTAAAAAGAGATTTAATTTGTTTTTTTTTTTAAAAAAGGTTTTTTTTTTTTTTTTTTTTTTTTTTTATTATAAACATGCTTTATTTATCGAATCCTGGCTGCATTAGCACCAATTTTAAATGAACGTTAAACAATTTTCACCGTGATTTTTTTCTTTTTCTCTTTCTCTCCACACCAGCGTGGAAACATTAATATTCAAGAGATCTATTTTGTTATTCATTTGTTTCATAGTAATTGAAATTATTACTATTGTACGTTACTATTGTATTTATCGACTTTTCAATTGATTATCCGTGGGACTGTGTCGCGCCAAATTAACTGTTAAAAATACAAAATTGATCAACATTTTACGACAACTTCGTGCTTTATCATTACATATCGAGTGATTTCTTATTTTGCTTGCACGCCTTCGCATAGTATATGACACAAACAATACACATTCTCATAAATTGTTTATACATAAATTATACATTGGACACTTTTACGACTCTGTAAGTCAGCTCTACTCTCTCTCTCTCTAAGTCAGCTACAGGCACCTACCGATAATCGATCCCCCAAAATACGAATGATTTTCATGAATGATCGTAAGACTGTTTTGTTCTTTTAAACGCACGTTTTTAATTCTCCAAATTTAATATTCGAGAGCATTGCTAAAATCTCCTGTTAAATCGCAGCATCGGGGACAAATTATTGCTGCCAACCCAACACGGCAAGAAACTCATTGGACGTATTGGATGAGATAACCTTGGGCCAAAACAGTCCCAATTAACAATGCACCTGTCATACGATTCGACAAAGAAATGCATGAACGCGTATCAGAAGATAGAGGAGAGATGAACAATTTAATTATTAATCGGGGGTTTATATTACGTACATTATGCACAATTTATATTATAAGGTTAATTTTTTCTCCCCAGAAGATGTTGTGACAGCCATATTTTACGCGCGCGTGTGTTCGTACGTAAATGCAGAGTTGCGCATTTCTAATAGGTAATAACGATGTGTCACAACGATAAGTTTTAAACAATTTTGAAGATCCAAACTGTAAAAGGGTTTACGCTATACCTCCTGCCCACTCGAGTATAAAGAATCATCCAAAATGGTTACAATGCGATTAATAACAAAATAATAAATAGCCAATAGTGATCGAGCTCTAAGAGTCAGTGTTTTCTTGCTGCACGTACGCGCACGCACACGGAAATGAGGATAAAATGATATTCAATGCGAATGTCATTACGTTGAGTGTGTCTCGATGCTGATAGTAAATAGGTCCACTCGTTACAGTTTGGAGTGGAGGCTGGATCCTGGACTCTCCGGAATAAGCGAGATGTTTTCTTCATCGAATGCATAGAGATAATATTTGTTCGTGCGCCTGTGTGTGACTGTGACCCTTCTTGCGCGTGTGTGTTCGCGTGTGCGTGCGCGTGTGTTTTCCTCGTCAATTAATTCAATTTGAAACGATTCGTTTCAAAGTAGCTCAGCCGTAAGTTTAAACTCGCCAGTTCATAATGTAGTTAATATCTGAGATGCATTATGACTTTCTCTTAATTCTCGTTTCCTTACTTTACACGGTAATTCTTATTATGACAACGCAATATCATTCGAACAAATAGTATTCTGTTTTAAAAACTTACTGTAACCGATAGAATGAAATATTTAATTTTCTCGACTGTGCAATCGTGCACTTATGTGCAAGTTCTTGTTTTATGGACAGCGTTCATTTACTGAAAATATTGGAGGATGAAGAAACGATGGTTAAGAAGTGGATACGTTAACTAGCTTACTAGCTTTTATTTGGTCGTGTTGTCAATATTCTGTAGAGTGAGTTTAATAAATAAATTTAATTAATGGGTAGAAATAAAAATTTCTAACTTCTTTGAATGATATTGTCTTGCTCTTAAGATGGAATAAAATTAACGTCAATAAATTCTCTAACCGTGCCTTAATTAATGTTTATAGTTTCGCACGAGGAATTGTCCTTCTTATTCTTCTGACTAGTTGACAAGTCATTTATACAGATAATAACAAAACACTAAATAATGTCAGCTTCTCGTTGTTCTATTTGTTATTTCTAATATATTTGTGAATTTGACTGCTCCTTAATGCATCTTTAATTTACAGATATTAGATCATGTCGTTTTTACGTGGCTCTGCCAATTATGTGTGGTGCACGACTAGCGTACTGGGTAAAGGAGCAACCGGCGCCGTATTTCAAGGGGTGAATAAAAATAATGGCGAGCCAGTAGCTGTAAAGACGTTCAACCAAGTTAGTCACATGCGGCCTCACGATGTACAAATGCGAGAATTTGAAGTTTTGCGTAAAGTGAAGCATGAAAATATTGTTAAACTGTTAGCCATCGAAGAAGAACAGGATGGGCGAGGAAAAGTTATAGTAATGGAGCTCTGCACAGGCGGTAGTTTATTTAACATCTTAGACGATCCTGAAAATACGTATGGCCTAGCAGAGGAAGAGTTCTTACTTGTTTTGGAACATTTATCGGCTGGTATGAAGCATTTACGAGACAATAATTTGGTTCATCGCGATCTCAAGCCTGGAAATATTATGAAATTCATAGCGGATGATGGTAGCACTATATATAAATTAACTGACTTTGGAGCTGCTCGAGAATTACAAGAAGATCAACAATTTGTGTCATTATACGGAACCGAGGAATACCTTCATCCAGATATGTACGAGCGAGCGGTACTTAGGAAACCAGTGGATAAAAGTTTTGGGGCGACGGTGGATCTTTGGTCGATAGGTGTAACCTTGTATCACGTGGCAACTGGCCAATTGCCATTCAGGCCACACGGTGGTCGGAGAAATAGAGAAACCATGTTTTATATAACTACAAAAAAGGCATCCGGTGTCATAGCTGGTGCGCAAATGACAGAAAACGGCCCAATCGATTGGAGTAGAGAATTACCGCACAGTTGTCGCTTAAGTGCCGGTCTAAGGAGATACGTTACCCCTCTGTTGGCGGGATTATTAGAAGTCGATCGACAAAAAATTTGGAGTTTTGATAGATTTTTCTCCAGAGTTACGGACACTCTCTGCAGACGACCAGCTATCAACATTTTTGACGTTCATGGAGGTAATTTAATAAAAATATATTTACATCCAGAGGAGGAACGTTTTGCTGCATTTCAAGCTCACATCCATGATCAGACGAGTATCCCAGCCAGGTCTCAGATACTTCTAAAGGGTCAGATATCCATTTTACAACTAGTAGAAATCTCAACTCCTGGAAAAGGTTATCCATTGACGTCAGTGGACGAGCCATTACATTTATTCTCAAGAGAAAATAACAACGTAATGGTGCCGTTAGATTCAGAGCTTCCAAAATTTCCCATTTTTGCCAATTTAGTGTCAGTAGAGATCGACGCCAGTCAAGCCAAATCCGCTTGTTCGGTTGGACACGAGTGCAAAAGGAGAATCGACAAAATAGCAAGATGCAGCAAATTGTCTCAGGATGCAGTTACATCGTTTGTTAATTATTTAGTCACAGAACTTGGTAGAGCTCTGGAAAAGTGTCAAAGAGCCAAGGATTTCACTAAAGCCGTAGAGGATCTAGCGATAGCTATCGAGAGAGGAGAAGCCATAGCTAAGCAAGTGTTTCTAGGCATTCGTATAAATCAAGGATCAAGCTCTTCGACTAGTGTATTATCGACATCACCAACAGGATCGAATTTATCATCTGCAACGCAAAATTCTGTAGTCCCATCCTTTGAAGTGAAAAGCTGGAAGAAGGAATTGGACGTAAAGAGTAACGAACTATTCGGAGAATTGGCACCTGCAATATCTCAATTGCATCAACGGTAGAAACTAAATTTTCATTTAATTTCTAAATTATAATCTGAATTTATTTCCAAAGCACCAGAGCTAATTCTCCAATTATGTATAATAATGCCTAGTATATAATAATATCATGCTTAAATCCGTGCTTTAATTACATTAAATGTTTAAGATAATTGACATGATGATAATAATAATAATAATAATAATAATAATAATAATAATAATAATAATAATAATAATAATAATAACAATAACAATAATAATAATAATAATAATAACAATAACAATAATAATAATAATAATAATAACAATAACAATAATAATAATAATAATAATAACAATAACAATAATAATAATAATAATAATAACAATAATGAGCAGTATAACGGGCGCAACGATTAAAAGATTAAAAGTTCGTTTACGTTAAAGTCATCCTATGCATATTTTGAGAACGTTCAAGTTATAAAAAATGTACTTTCATAAAATTTTAATAATCCTTTTACAATGTTCAATTTTTAATTCGAGCATGAATCTTTTCCAATATTCTAAATCTCAATTCCTAACATATAGTTTTGTTCTCTATATAGATATGTTAAGGAAAATTGCTTGAGAAGCGAATGGGATACTAACACACGTGGATTATGGTGCCCATGGGCAAGTAAAGCAAGTCAAAAAGCCGCGACCTTGGTCGATCGCTTGAGAGATGGTTGGCAGCATCTTTTACGAGATCGAGCCACGCGAAGCCTCACGTACAATGACGAACAATTTCATGTTCTGGAGCGCATTAAAGTGAGTGTGAGATTTGGCATTTGAAAGCGAAGAATGTTTGTTTTAATGGGAAACAAGTGAATTGCAAAGTTATTGGTAATAAGCGAAACTCGATGATATTGAGTCATTAGTACTTGGTTAAGTTCTCACTTCCACCTCCTCCTCCACCACTCCACTCTACTCCAATCCCCCCTCCCCCCATCCCCCTCCCCACCCCACCCCACCCCTCCCCTCACACTGCATTATCTATGATTTGCGATTAACATTGTTAAAAGAAAAGAAAATAAAACTACCTTTACCTAGTTTATTATTGATATATTAATTATTAATATTCTTACGATGATTTATATGAATTCGTATTATAGATATATATAATTTTACCATTACTTTAATTATTCGTAAATTCATTATAATTTTAAAATTTTAAATAAAACGCGTATTAATGATTTTACACGATATTGTAAAAACTCGCGTATTAGTAATTATACATTTGATTAGGTGAGTGCACTTTAAAGTGCACTACAATATGTTTTAAGGGAAATTGAAAATGGAATGTCCGCGCGTGTGCTCGTATTATTGTTAGCTTACAACTTGCAATTGCAAATTGTAAAATGTCGGAAATTATCATTAAATTATTCATAAATATTAGAAGGGGTTAGAAGAGTTATTGTGCTCCTTGAGTAGCCGCTCTTCTACAAGAGCTCCTTAAAGCATCAATGCGCATAATTTTCAAAGTTGAAAAAAAAAAATTCTTTTAAGCTTAGTTTGCATTCTTAAGAGACATAAAATTAATCAATGTTCCCCGCGGACGTGTGAGCACAATTCGCACGTCTATAGGAGGAATTATCCAGGCATTATTGCTTAACAAGCCCGTCGGCTCGAATTTTGAAATAATTTTTGAAAATTTTTTAAAATCATTAGGCCAAGAGAGTAGTAATAAAATAATAAGCCTCTGTCGAATTGAAGGTAACCGAGACCGGACGTCGCATGAAGGATCTCCTGGAGAAGCAGGTGATCCCCGCGATAACCCAACACTCGGAATGCCTCGCCGATTGGTACAAAATGGCACAGACGGTGTTCCTTCAGACGCAGATCCTCGACAAGGACATCGACAACTACAACCGCATGCTGGAGAGCTTCTCGTTGAGCCTGTCTCAGGAAGGCAAGGAGCGATACGACCACATATGCCGTTCGATAGATTCTTGGCTGCCGAGAATGAGTCAGCAGTCCAGCAAAACTATGAATGAGTCCGAGAGCGAAGTGAACGAACTCAGAAAACGTCGTGCGATTATGGAGGAGGGCAAATGGAAGGACATATGCTCGATGCAGAAGCAAATACTCATGGTACTTTATAAGAATAATAAACTCGTCGATGAGCTCAACAATTGGACTCTCAACGAGATGGCGAGCACATCCTCCACCGAGGAGCTCCATCTTTTGACTATGGGCAATTAGCCGGAGGATTTACGAGGTCATAGCGATAAGGACTCAAAGTGCAATGACGACGCGTCAATAATCATTTCATTTAACGAACATCGTTACCTCGTTTGTTCGTCTTAATTCTTTCGCCTTAATTCATTACACCAAGTGTAGTGATTTACGATTCTGATCTGACCGAGTATATTTGGCCGTGGCGCAGTGTTATTATGCAACGATGATATTATGCCCTGAATTCGAAATTACGGACAATTTATTTATTTATTTATCACTTAATCGCTTTAAATCTGTAATATAATACGAGTTCTATTTTAACGAATTAAATATAAAATTGTGGCAGTTTTAAAATTTTATCAATTTTCTTGAGCCAAATTTCATTTACCTTTGCTAAGTATTAAAAACTATTTTTTTAACCAAAAAAAATGAATAGCAGTATTTTTTAAATACAACAAACTTTTTTCTTTTTTTTTTTTAGCTTTTAATTAGTAAATAATTAGTATGGTAAAATTTATACATAAAGCTATATATTTTTTATATAATCTTATTTATTACACGTATATTGTACGATATATATTTCTTATCGTTTCTAAACGAAATCAATGATCATTAATTTTTATTATTGTTTATGTAAATAGTTGAAAGTTTATAAATTATATATTAAAAATTCGTTAAACAATCTCTGTTAAACCTACAAAACAAAATATAACCTTACATAAATATTAATTAAATTATCCATTTTATGAAAAAATAATAACTTACATGGCCTAGTGATATTAATGGATTTATTTGTAAAATAAAATGTTACATCTCATGATAGAGCATGAAACAAATGCTTTTATTTAATATCTACACATTATATTAACAAAATATTTATCATTTTATTCCTCTTTCAGAGTTTTAATAATTTCCGTTTGCGCGCGCCTGTGTTTGTGTGTGTGTGTGTGTGTGTGTGTGTGTTTTGTTTTTAAATAATTTTTATACGATATAAACGACATTATAATTCTTACAAATATAAAAAAAACTATCTTAGCGATTTTCACATACATTGTTAATTTTAAAAGTTTATAGTTTCAATAAATTTACCATTATTATAATTATTTTGAACAAAAAAAAAGTAAACACGAATTCATGTTATTTACTAGCGTATTCAAAATAACAACTTCACACAACACCGATTTCAATTACTTTCTAATAACAATACTTAAAATTTAGAAAGAAAAATATTAAAATGAAATACAATGGCTGTTTAAATTAAAAATAAGCTATTGAGCAATAATTGTTCGATACTATTTAAACGATACTGTTTACAAGAATTAAATTATGCTTTAATACTTTGGTTAAAATGTACGTATGAAAGTTGTGATATTGTTTATTTATAAAGAGTAGAAAAAATTTTTATTTTGAGCAATATTGGTGGCGAATAGTAATTATTTTTACATTAAATTATAAATTATATTAATTGGATTAAGAAGAGTAGGCACTAACGCAAGACTGAATTAAAAACTATATTATAACAATAACAAAATTGTTTTTATTTTAGATTATAAAATGACAGATTAGCTTATAAATAATGTTTTTAACATATTAATGTATATACAATAATAAAATGTTGATTTCATTTTAAAGAACAAGGTTGGCTACTTCTTTGGTGTTAGCTAACAATGTCTGTCTCTGTTTATGTTTCTGTTCTTTGTGTTTCTCTTGAGTATCTATAAAATATTGAAATAATTCCTGGAAATCGATTGTATCTCTTATAGATTCTGATTTTGTTTGAGGCGTTTTTGTTTCACGATTGGAATTTACAGGCACAGCCGATAGTCGACGATGTAACATGAAAAAAGCTTCGCTTTGTGGTAGAATCATAAGAAGGCCATACAAAGCACAGACTAGAGATTCGTTCTTTTCCAAAAGTTCTAGTCGCAAATCTTAAAAGTATATTGGTATTAGTACTATAATAATAATGTCATAATATATTTTTAATGTAACGTGTAAAATTAGTGAAATATTAGTAAAATATTACATGTGAAGATTGGTGATTCAATAAGTTGTATTAATTTATCAACTTCGGTTAGAAATTCTACGGTAACTTCAATGTTTCCACTAAAATTTATAATTATTAAAGAAGATATGCCCATTGATATAGTAACAAAATGTAATTTTATTTAAAAATATTGTTTCTCAAACATTTGTAATCGACTACAAATATTATACATTAATCAATACATTAAAAGGATACAAATATTTAACAAGATCGCAGGCATGACCGTAGTTTTGTGTGAGTAGACACAAAGACATGGTTGCTACAGGATTGTGGCACCACGACTTGTATAATTGAATAAATACTTGGACACTTTCCTAAATTAAAAAAAAAAACTGAAATTATATAAATTTGCAATAAAATTATTGGATACTGTGCGTTGCTATTCACCTCAGTCTTCAGATCCTTCAATTTATTTCGTAATTCAAAAAGTTCGGAGCTTGTCAATAAAATTGTATGAAGAGATTGTGCCATGATAGCAGCAAACCTAAGATTTTGCTCTTCTCTCAAGATCTCTGCTAAAACCTTAAAAATATGTTCCGGATTGAGCAATACGCACAATTCTCTTATAATAAATGCACCTCTATCTTCCAAGAGGTGTCTATCAGTTGCAAATAGTCGTAATAAATTCACCATAAACTTAGTAAAATACTTATTTTCTTCAATATTTGTAGACTTTAAGTTAATCAGTTCGGACATAACGACTAATGTTTGTTGAACAACTTCCTCCGAATTGTCGCTTAAAACTTTCATCAGAACAGGAAATAATTCCTCATTGTGAAGGTACATTTTGTCTGGTAAATTCATTAACAAGTGGCATATCCATTTTAGCACGGTTACTTTTGTTTGAACAGGTATTTGTTGCAGCATTAAGTGTTTTGTCAAAACTTCAATGATACTAGAGAGATCAAGGCTATCGGTTATTGAGGGCTCTTTGCTATTTGAAATTATCAATTTATAAAGACTATCATTTACATGAGTAGCGGTTTCTTTTATTATTTTACGAGTGTCGCCATCATAAGATAAACAAGTTAATATTGCTATAAATATACCAGAAGTATAAGGCAAGAGATTTTGACCCGACAATCGAATGAACTCGTCCATCCAAGTAATCGCAGTCAATTGGAGAAGTTCGTCCGAACTTTGTGCATGTAAAATAAGTATATTTATCATTCCTGCAAAATCTACTCTCGACGGATCCAACTTGATGCTATGAAGAAATTCCATGAAAACTGTCTCAGCGGATCTCTTTATCTCTGGTATTGGATCTTCAAGAATTTTAAATAAACCATCAAGAATATCTGTTAAATAGATTACCATGTCAATATCAGGTACTGAAATCAAAACTAATATCCATGATATAATAAATTGCCGTCCAAATGGATTCTTTGTATACATCCTTTCTCTAAGAACTGATATAAAGGCTAATAGATCAAAATCATCGCTCTCTGTGACAATATCCTATAGGCAAAAAACTTTTTTTAGTCCAATTTATAATTATATTAAATAGATTATCGATGTAACAGTACGTTTTATTGTTTTATAGTTTTACGTGCAGTAATTTAATTTTGTTTTGTTTTAACTATGTATATTAATATCGCCTCTAGTAAAATTAAGATTTAATAAAATCGATGTAAAACTTTCACATTTACTTGATTTTACTAGGTGGCAGTGCTCTTAATATTAAATAATAACGACGTAGTTACGCATACCTTCATCAGTCTATCTAGTAATTCGGTAGCATTTTTTACACTTTGATCAGAATCGCACATTGATTTGCTCAAAGCTCCAAAAATGTCAGTAAAATATGGTAAAATAGCACCTCTCGCCACCTTCACAACATTATAAAGGCTCTCGCAGGCACAATACCTCACTCTAAGATCCGAATCATTGAAACAAACTAAAATTGGAGGAATAAATTCTTCCATGTACTTTGCAGTATTGGCACTTCCCAACCCAACTGCCATCGCACCCAATCCAATTAAACCTCCCTTACGACCATGTGGATTATGAGATGTAGCAAAATCTTGTCCCAATACTTTAAATAATCGCTTTATCTGAGCCGTGTTGTTGTGTGCAGCAAAATCTTTAACCATTCTTAAGAACAATTTTAATTATATTAAACACTTTAACATTGTAAATTAATAGAAAACATAAGAAACACCATTTACAAAATTAACAACACAAATTAATCTGTATTTAGCTGTTGTATTTAAAAATTTTTCAAATTAATGCATAAATAAAGTAAATATCACATAACCTTACTTATCAATTTCCAGAGCGGCAGCTTTTCTTTTTTCATAAAATTTATCATTTAATGATTTAACGCAAGCTGTACTTAACGGCGCGTAGTCTTTCTCCGTCATTTTATCTTCTTTTCTTTTAATAATTCTAGCTTATTTGAAGCTTGTTTTGGCCGTTTAAATTACAACACCCAGGCTCAGCTGATTTGAAAAAAAAGAAACAAAAATAAGGAAAAAACGCGAATGAACGTTAAAATTTGTAACAAATAATGCAATTTCTTACTTATACTTCTATTACCGTATTATTCATTTCATATTAGTAGTCTATCCACTTAAAATGCATGTAATTTAAATTGAAATCCTGTAAATTCACTCTAATTTCGAATACAAACATCAATGAGAATTTTGTTCCATTTCATTTGAATTAAAAAATTTGATTTATTTTCTAATACTTGAGCATTTAAATGCGATTGAATTTATTTTCTCAAAAGAATCAATGTTTAATTAACGGGGGTAGACAAGGAACGTATAAAATCTTATGTTTGAGCTTCACTCGCTACTTGCTTGACAATTTCAAATTTATTTCATATTGCATTTTCCATCGTCAGCGTCATTCTTCGACTTTATCAGTGAATACTTTTCATTAGTAACTTATGTTAACGTAAGTAGGATAGATAGGTAGATCGGTTTCACAGATTAATTAGTACTTGACAATGCAATCTGACACAACATGTCAGATGAATTTTTATTAAATTCTATGAAGTTTATTAGGCGATTAAAATAGGCCGAAACGTTAGCCAAGTGAGAAACAATCGTTAACGTTCTACGGCATCGTCAATGCATTGGTAATTTGACATTCGCTGAGTTTAAAATATTAAATTCTAAATTCACTTTCTATGCATTTAACGTTATTCAGAAAGTAAATTACATTAAAAGCTAAATTAACTAAAATTATAGCAGAAACTAAACCAAACTAAGATGATTGTTATAACATTCGAGAAAATTTGTATTCTTTATTATATTTAAAATGAAAGATTTATGTGGAATTTCGCAATAATCGAAGAAAAAGTTTGGTAAACTTTTGGAAATATAATGCTACGAACAAAGCTCCAATATAAATTGTTAATAAATAAATTTATATATACATAAATATTATTCATAATATAGTGTAACCGGATGCATTGAATAAATTAATTTAATATTACACTAATTAATTTTGCATACCGATTTAGCCGTCGTTTTAATTTTGAGATTTTTTGTTTGGACTCGACTCCTTTTAATTCTGAATATAATATACGTTTATATTGTATTATTTTTGATAAATTTCTAGTGCAATCATAGCGCTACTTTTTTCTAATTCTCTTTTGGAGCATCAGCGAGGCCACGTAGATGTAAAATGCAGAGAATAACATGTCAAACGTATGTTGAGAAAGCGTTTACAATTCATTTTACGTTTACAGCGAAGCGTTTACAATTCTAATTAAGCACGCATAATATACATATTGTAATGACGCACTTCCTCTTACAAATAAACAATTGAATGATGTGAACTATGTATAATCTTTTTTACTTTTTCATTTCAGTAATATAAGCTTACGTCTCGTAATATTAGACAAAAGAGTAAATGTATTTAATTGTAAAAATTGTTGATTATAGGAATTAATGAAAAATAAAGCTAAAATTATTCAAATATTTTATCAAAATATTATTTGATTAAAAATTCATTGTATAAGAAAGAAAAAAAAATAAATAAATAATAAGAATGCGTGTAATAAAAATAATAATTTTAAATTTAAGACATTGGAATATAAATAATATATGCCGTGTGTGGTAGAGGCCAAATTTGAATATTTATTCATAGAAATTAGGTATAATATTGATAATTAATAAATCAGTGGCGTGAGGCACCTATTTTACTTTGGCATTAGCTTACGCGGACGAGATGGGCGACGGAACTCGTCGCGTCATCCTTCCTTGTTCACGCGAACGCACACACGCGCGCCCACGCGCCCACGCACCCACGCACCCACGCACCCACGCACCCACGCATACAACGACAAGCGCTCATCGAAAACAAGCTCAGTCGTAATGACCGAATATACGTCGGTCGAGCAGCGAATTGATTTTGTAAATTTAAAAAATTCTCAATCGTCTTTTGGTAGTTCGTTGTGACCTCCTTCCACCGTCTTATCCGACTGTTAAAATACAAAAGGAAAAAACAAATATCGATGCCAGCGACCAATGTTTTTATACGAAAAGTCGTTATTTTTTCTCCTACAATATTCCACGATTGTTTGTTTCCATTCTCCTTACTTGTTATCAATAATAATTGTAAATTTTAAATGCTAAACCATCCGGCAAATAATATTTAGAAATTACTTTTTATTTTTATAATAGAATATTCAACATTTGTATTTTGATTATTTGAAATACTAATTTCATCATTGTTAATGAATATTTTACATAATGTTAAATTTAAAAACTCATGAATATTTGATGAAAACGATTACTTAAATTATCAAAAATATAATAAACAATAATAGACTACATTATTAATTTGTTAATATAATAATTTATGAAATAATGAGTTCTCAAACTATTATAATTCGGTAGAAAATTTGGTAAAATATTATTTATAAATAGATTTACATTAAGTTAAAATAATAATGAATTTTTGTTTTTTTTAAGAATTTTAATGAAATATTCGTCACTTTAACACGATCACAATAAAAAATGTAAAATAAAGGCAAAAATTTTATAAATCCATATGATTAAAAGGTATTTAAAATTTTTTAAACTATAACGAAATTACATTATGTTAAAATTGATTATAAAATTAAAGTTACATTGTTTTTTTTTTTTTTTAAGTTTTAATTATTATTATAATATTAATTAAAGATGTAATTCATTCGTAATAAAATAACATCTATCCATAAATGTGTATTTGTTTAACTAGTTTAATTAACATATACGAGATAAAAATTGCTGTATCTGAGCAATTGTTTTTACACTTATTGTATTCACGATCATATTGTTAATAAATATTTAAATCGTTCTACCTCTCTATTATTTTACATAAATAATAATAATATATTTTTTTTTTTATATTAAAGAGAAAAATAGAAAATAGTAAGAATAATCATCATTGACTAGAATATTAGAAAAAACACTTTAAAACATTGTACATTTTTTAATTACAGAAAAGTTTGACAACACAATGATCAATAATAATTATAAGAAATGCTTTATTCCTAGTTAAAGTAAATTTATATATAATAGTTATCAAATTCTATCAAATTTTAAAAAACATTAATAAATTAATTATATTTCTATAAGACATAAGTATCTATGTGTTTTTAAATGTTTGCTATGGGCGTAATTTAAGACTATAATCTTGTACAATTTATTTATAATGTAAATTTTATTAAACCAATATATATTTTATTCGTAACTTATAAAAACTAAATAACTTATAAAATTTAATGAAAATTAGATGTAAAATTATAATATATTTTACAAATATATTATCTAAATGCAAATAATTTAAAGCTTCAAAATACGAAATTTCTAAAAATTCAAATCTTAGATATTATATTTTAACGATAGAGAATTAAAATGTAAAAAGAAATATACCTAAGAAAAATGTTTCAAGCCTTTTTATAAATGGAGTTATTTATACTTGCATACACGCATACACGAAAATATAAATTTAATAAGTTAATTCGATATATTAATTAAAATATAATATAAACGATGCGAGAAAAATAATTTTGAATTTCATTATCCTCATAATATTTTTATAATTAAACAAATTGTTGAAAACAATGCAAAAATAGATATAAAGTAGGCAGACGATATTGACTTAATGCAGTAATTATGAAAATTAAGAAATTTTATTTCATTTGATAAATATGAGTTTAAAATGATTTTTAAATTTAACATTATACGGTTATAACAAGTTAGAGTTTCATTTCATCTCTCTCTCTCTCTCTCTCTCTCTCTCTCTCTCTCTCTCTTTCAATAATTTTTCTAGTATTAAATTATATGCAAATATCAAGTTATTACATCCTTACTACAATTTTGAATAACGTTCATCAGTACTTTCAGCCGATATACGATCAGCACTTATACGATATTCATAGACGATAAATAAAAGATGATTTTATTAATAATCCCAATGATGAAATATTTTTATCTCAAAAATGCTAAGTTATAAATTAAAAGAAAAAAAAATCTCATTCGTTGTTGAAATTGACTTGATATATTGTCAAATTTCTTTCGATCTGTACTGTATTACTAATGAATTTGTTATGTCGAATAATAAGTTTTCGGTTATATTCTATTAATATCATAATTAAAAGTAATTAAAAATAAAAATTTTTGTTATATCGTGAATAAAAGCACAAAATAAATTTTAAACGTATTTATGTGCACAATTAAGTATTTACGTGTTTGTACATATAATTATTTACTTATTCTTAAGGAGCTTAATATATCAAATAAAATCTGTTAAAAATTGTAAAAAAAGTACTTTTTAGAATTTTTGGATTAAATAATAAAAGCGAATTATACTTATAAATGCCTATAATAGTTAATAAATAATAGAAATATTATTAATATTTAATATTTAATTGATTATTGAAAAAGAGATCAAATAACAATCTTCTGTTAAAAATAAACTTATCCTTGTAAAAATAATTTGTAAACAAAAATTAATTTAACACAATGGGAATTGTCGATAGTTAAATTTTCAAATTGCGATTCTAGATTTTAAGATACTAATAAGTTTTTTTTTGATTTTCAAAAATGAATAAATATAAACTGTATTTATTTACAACAAAATTTTGTTTAAGAAATTAAAAACATTTAATGAATTGTTAATTGTTCAATATATATATATACATATATATATATATATATATATATATATATATATATATATATGTTTCAAACATCAACTGCATATCATTATTTAATTTTTCTTTTTAATCTAAAACATTATTACGAAGAATAATTACAAACAGAATTTATAAATTTCTAATAGCAAAAAAAATCTAATAGCAACATAATAAAAACGGTCCAATTTGTCAAATGCCGTTTAAATATATAGTAAATTTGAATATTTTTGTCAAAATCATATTTCCCAAGAACAGAATAGATCCAGAACAGATAATACTAATATTTCTAAATAAACGCGTAAAGATAATGCATTGATCAAATGATTATAATTATGCGTATCAATTATGTATACATTAATTTGCTTACGTACACTTATGAAGTATTAATTATTATAAATTTGTACTTTAATTATTATTAATTTAACTATAATATAGTAACTATACTATATTTTACACAATCCATTGTTATTAATAATAGAAAAATTTGCATTTGCTTTCATAAAATAAAAGTTTTAAACTGAAAACAAATTTTTGAATTTGATTGAATTTTTGTTTTAACTAATGAAAGTAAAAAAAAAAAAAAAAAAATGAGCGGTAAAAAAAATAACGAGGTGCTTGATTGTAATTGAAGTTATTTAAATCTTCATAGACGTGTGACAATAAACAATGTATTATGTTATACACATATACAAGGATTTATGGCATAATTAAACCTTTTGTAAATAAATATTTTACAAATTAAAACATAATGAATTCTTGATTCTATATCAAATAAAATAAAAAAATCAAGGATAATAACAAACTTAATTAAATTCAAATTAGAGTATATTAAAATCACAGGCAAATATTAGAATTAAATTTGCTCGAAAAAGTTGTTAATATGACCGCCCTCGTAAACGCTTTCTAGCCTGATTAATGAAATAAACAATTAAAATTATATTATTTTATATTTATGGATGAAATTTAAATTATATCTATACAATTTTTAGTTTGTCGCTTTTTCTTTTGGATCATAATCATTCTCTTCTGACTTTAAATTTACAAAGAATTTGCAATAATAAAGATTGGCTGCATCTCGATAGCTTTGTTTTTGCTATTGAAATTATTAATTAACAACCAAATTATTATTATGCAATAGTAATCGCATACAATTGTTTATATTATTTTATATGGAACTAACTATGTCATCATGATAATTGAAATTCAGATTTTAGCCATAGACACATCTTTCTCATTAAAAAAAAATATCATTAAACTTTCAATTGGAATGTTAAATCATTTCCTATTAAATGTTTGTTGATTTGCTTTAAAATTGGATAGTAATTGAGTCGGTGTTATTTTTAATGTAAAGGATTATCTAAATAAATAAATTTTAATTGACCAGGTGTATTGCGTGTTTATTGTGATTTATTTTCTCTATTTTTATCGTGCGGACGAAAATTTCAAAAACTTTCAATAACGTAAGATGGAAATTACTTTCGTTGTTACTAAACAGTATTCATTGTTGTTAATTTGCTTTGTAAATAATTTCTACAAACGCTATGAAGAAATGTATAATAAAAATATGTGATGCCGTAGGACACAATGTAATGAAATGTAAATATAGAAATAAATATAAAATATAAAAACAATAAATGACAAGTGGATAAAGTTGATAAGTAAAAATACGAAAAATAAGGAGTTTATTTGTTTGAAACCGTTAATGTTACAATAATATAAAATGGGTATAAGAAAGTAATTTTCAATCTTAATACGATTAATTCTATGAGGGTTTTGTTACTACGTAAATAGTAATTACAATAGAGAATTTAAAAATACTTTATTATGATACTAGAACAAAATAACAATTTATTAATAGTAATGTTTACATTATATATGCATGCGATATGTGATCTTTCGAATAATTTCATAAATAATGTGCTTCAATTTTAATGCTTTATATTATAACACTACTGTTTCTCCTTATATATATATATATATATATATATATATATATATATTGTTAGAGACTTGGAACATTTTATCACAGCTGACGGTACTACTTTAGATAGTACTAGGTACTGGTACTCGCAGGTTTATCACGTGTGGTACATGCACTAGTCGTACCTAATGGCAAAACAAATAGTAGAGAAGGTAAAATTAAAATATTTACTAGGAATATGTATGCCGTCGAGTAAAACGTATGCATCAAGAATTCAAATTCCTGTATACGAATACGATGAATACTTACATATGGTACGAGACTGTTTTTAATAACCTTTAAGCGTCTTTTGATGTACATAATTTTTTGAGGTTATCGTTTATGTATAAACATTTTTCGTCTTTTTATATTTAGCACTTTAAGAAAAATAACTTCATATATGCTCATGACCCAGATAGAGTTTGCAAAGTCGGAGACACCGTTTTGGTACAAAATTTGGAAGAAAAACTGACCAAACTCATCACACATAAAGTAAGATTTATGTTAAATTTCTATAGTATTATTAAAAAAAATATTACTGCATAAAATAATTGATTATACAGTTGATAAATGAACCAAAAATTATTAAAATTTCTTATTTAAAATTAATTTTTATTAAATTGTACAAGGAGGTGGGATTATTAATTATACAATATATTTGAGTACTTTTAATACTTTATACACAAAGATTCATAATAAAGTAAAATTTTTCGATCGATCAACAATACGTGGTGTATATTTCTATAAAATATAAAATAGTACTTAAAAACAAAGTTATTTGGATATTCTAATCGCTATATTAACATATCATATAGTAAATTGAAACTTACTGTTTTAGGTTATTGAAGTTATTTATCCCGTTGGAGATATCACTGATCCAATTACAGGTAAAAAAGTTGCAGGTAGCGTATACAGAGATGACATCGCAGAAATAAATAAATTGTACGGCGAATCAGAAAATGCCTTTAATTATGATAAAGCACCACCTAAAGGATATCTAGAAGATAAAAAAGATTTTACACAAAAACCAGTTTATAAAAAGTATTATGAAGATCCAAACGATCCCCAACCTTACGGTGTTTAAAAATTTATTGGATAATAGAATTAATTAAGATTGTAAAAAAAAATGTTTTCTTATTAGTTATAATATTAAATAGAGTTTTTTTTTTATTTATACCTTGTATTATAAGTTTTATGAAATTGATAAACAATTTTTAATTGCGTCTTGTCAAATATTTATTTTAAATCTTTCAAAATTATATATCTTCTATTTTAAAACCAACGTTCATGAAATGGTCTAAACTTTTTCAGTCAATTCATACAGATTATTTTTAATCTCATAATTTTCATATTTGTAATTATAATTTAAACTAAAGATCTTGACGCAATACCCATCATCAATTTCAATGTCAAATAATTAAGAGATACTGAGCATTATTAATGATAATAATTATAATGTTTAACTTATGTAACATTTGGAAATTAAATTTAACGATTCGAGTAATTTTGAATAACACTTAGTATTGTCTAATTAAATTAACTTAAAATAATTTTAACAAATAAATTGTACTTCTTAATGTAATTCTCGTATTTTAACTCATCATTTTTTTTTTATTAATTATAAGTTTTTATTAACTACTGATACCAAATATTAGGAAAGGGTATCGTTTATTATAAGACTTTCTTTAGTAATGGAAATCTGTCTATTTTCTAAATATTCGCCACTCAAGATGTTATAGATATTAAATCCAGTAATGTATTTAACGTTTGGTGTTGAGCAACCTTTTGTACATTTCTTATTTTTTCGTACAATTATTACGTATAGCGTGTAAGAATGAAATAGTATCAAACTATTAGAACATGAAACTAATAATTTTATGTTTCTACTATGAAATTTATTAATACTGTTTGGTTTATAATTTTGAATGCACGCAGTTGAATTCTTATTTACAGTAAAAAAAAAATCATAAATAAAGTTGAAATATAGTATAAAGATGTACATTGTATTCCTCCTTAAAATATGAAATTTAACTAAAATACTAAGAAAACATTAATGAAAAAGATTGTTGGTTTTAGTAATTTAAAGATATAAAAAGGAAAAGCATATAATCAAATCGATCAAATTAAGTTTAAGCAAAAAACGCGTTATAAATTAAATAAATAATTAATTTAGCGTATTCTAATCTAATGACAAACCAATAAAGCTTCACTGAATACATAAGATCAAATTAATATTTGTAATTGATGATAAATTACTAAATATAATAAATTCTTAAAAAATACTTAAGTGATTTTCAATTATTTAAGTATAATTTTTATCCAATCAAGCAAATATTAAGAAAATCATATAGTTTATATTTTTGGAGCCCTGACGATCTCTAAAAATTGTAATGAAATCTGTAATTTATACAATAAAATTAGGTGTAAAATAAAAAAGCAATACAATTTTAATAAAAAATCTAATAAAATATAGATATAAAATATTTCATTTCATTGTTTAAAATAAATGAAATGCTTAAAAGTTAATTTTCATACGATTTATAATAAAAGCCATACGTAATCACCTGTAAAAAATTTTCTCTTTAGATAACTCTTCAACACTTGAAAAATCTTATTATGTAAATATATTTTCTTTCCATTATTCAATAGACTTTTTTTTAATCTACAAGTATGTACTCTCATTCTCATAGAAAAGGTAAACTTTCACTTTGTTGTCCTATCACACTCTTAAATTTTACAAATTTTCTATTATAACAATTTTTTAAACATATTCTCATTCAACAACATCAATCAGACATGAATTCCCTTTCGAGGGCCGCACCCATTGCATTCCATTCGCGTTCATCCTCCATGTCTTCGGTTTCAAGATCACAGACGGAATCCTGAGAATTATCTCCAAGATCAAGATCATCGGGTAAAGCTTCACCTCGTCGAAAACGCGTCACTGGGTCATCCTCTTCTTCATCATCATCGTCATCGACATAACATTGTGTCTTACCATCGTCGTCTGTGGACTTACTACCGATGCTATCATTGTCGCTGTTTTTTCTTCGTTTCTTTAGAGATGGAATTTCATCATAATCTACAATTGGTTCATGATAATTAGTATTTATTTTATTTAAAACGTTTATTATTATTATTATTTTTTTTTTTTTTTTTTGAGTACCAAAAATTCATTCTTTGAAGTACTTATAACACATAAAAAGCTGTAGAATAAAATTATTAGGTACTTTATAATAATTATTATTAATAAAAGCGTTATTAAATTTAAGAACAACTCCATAATTACTTTTATTTAAATTTAATTTTATTATATAACAGTGTAAACATATAATTTATATATATATATTTGTATACAATAATTATAGCAGTAAAAGAAGTAATGTTTAAAGTGTTTATATATTATAAAAATAAATAAACTGTAACTGATTGAAAATTTGTATTGAATAAATAAATCTAAATAATACAAAATTTTAATACAATTAAATTAATTGTTGTTATTTTTTTTTATTATTTTTTTTTTTTAAATAAATACCAAATTTTTTCAAAAGAATGAGACATTTTGATTTTAAAAATGTACAACCGGTCAATGAATTTTCTTCAACAAATATTGAAAATTTAAATAAAAATTTATAACAATACTCACAGCCATATATGTCATTGGAATCTGAATCATGTTCCCTTTTACGAACTTTTTCATCATCATCCGAATCATCGAATATATCTTCGAGATCAGACATGTCTTCATTAACTTCTTTATCCATATTTGCGATCTCCTCCTGGGTAAAGATCATCAACGGATTGATGGTATTGGCAAAATTATTTTCCGTTTTTGGGGTGACATCCTCCACGTGCTCGGGTGTACTACAATGTGCCGGTGGCTTCCTGAATTCGCGAGCCTACGGTTACTTAGTCGTTATAGATAGACATACGTTAGCTTGAATATTTATTTAGAACACATTAATAAATAAATCAACACCGATATTATCGAAGTATTTGTATCTTGAAGCTATTTGGTAAAATAGTAGCTATCGTACATTTTTGATATTTCGTTAAATTTTTGTACTACTCAATTTTTGGAGATTAAGGAAATTAATTAAGAAAAGTATTTAGTATGTTCAGATAGTATGAACTTATAGCTTTATAAGGCACATCACTTTTCTTTAAAATAGAGTTAAGAAAATCTTTTAATTAACGAATAGAATTATATCATTCAATTACATTGAATGATATATCATTCAACTGCATTAAGTCTTTTATATTATTTCAAATAATTTTTTTTACCTTGTGTAATGGTACTTCTTTTAGAGGATACAAGCGCTCGTCAACGTGTTCCCATCGTTCCGCGCAAGTCCACAGCCAATCTGGATTGACTATTTTAACTTTGCCCTGTCTCTTTGCCTCTCGTACTTTGACCGTTCCTGGCTGAATAGCTACTAAATGAGTAGACTGCTTTGTGAGATCCTATAAGTAAATGCAACACAGATATTAAAAATTTTATTTGCATTTAATTTTATGTAATGTTTGTGTAATATTAATATTACAAATGCTTACATACTTATTGGATAAAATGTGAAATTATTCAAGTGTTTAGGGTAAAAAATTTGTCGATCCACATTCAAAGTTGTAATAAATTAATTAATACCTGCGAAACTTGTGCTCCAAATGCCCTAGCCACTTTATAAGCGCGACTTTGATGAAGCTTCTGATTATTTGGCACAAGACCACTAAATGTTAAACACAACCCTTCCAATACACGAGATCTGACTTTTGGAATTATTTCTCTAAGAGTTTTTGATTTTGTTTCGATTTCCGCTTCCGTATAAAATTCTGTATGTATTCTCTTTAGTATATCTTCTAAATATAATAAATAATCATCCTGATCCTCCATTTCTTTACTGTTGAATTGTAGTTGATCCTCTTGTTTTTGCTTTTCCTTCTTACCCCTACCGTGCTTCTTTTTGGTTTTCAATTTTTCTGAATTAATACTTTTACTTTTACTTTTGCAATCCATCTTATTAGATGCTTGATTACTTTCTGCAGTTTCAGAATTATTATTACTCGCCTCTTTTAGATCATCATCCTCGCTAATCTTCTCAGTTACTCTTATTTCGTTAATGTTTTCAGCTTGTTCTCCCTCCGCATTTTCTGGATTTTTGGTATCGTTCTGAGAATGAACTTCCTCCGCATCTTTATTATTAATTTCTTTAATTTTATCTATATTTTCATCTTTATCTTCATCGTTATCATTTTTACCGGATTTGCCATTTTCAGTACTATCGTTGGAATTGGCATCCTGCAATGCTTCTTCGGTGAGGGATTTTGGTGGACTAGGATCGTCATGTTTTCCCAGACCTGGCGGTACATTTATATCGCCAGTATGTAAAAAGAAATGGTATGGTTTTACTTGAACTAAATTTGCGCAACCTTGCCACACGTCATCTCTATCATCGATAATACAAACCATGTCTACCCCACAAGGAAATAAAGCTCTGTAGGATAAACAATGAGTATTTTTACAAAATGAGAAAGAGTAAAATATTTGATTAATAAAATAATAATATACTTGAGATTTGCAGTTTTAGATTGTGGGTCGAAGCACTCGTCTCTAGATAATATTCTGTGGGAAAATAGCTTCCCATCATTATCCAAAAGTGCAGCTACTCTATGAGCATATTGCCGTGCTCCAAATGTACAAATATGCAATTCATAAAGCTTACTAACTTCCGATAAAAAATGTCTTGTATGCGGTCTTAATCTTGTGTGATACCATGGCGAGGCTGGTCCATAAAGTTGAAAATGATGTACATCCTAAAATTTAGAATATTTATGAAGTGTATGCTCATGACTATCCGTTAAATTGAAATAAAAAATCCACTTAATTATTATTATTACATATATATATATATATATATATATATATATATATGTATAATTTTTTATAATTTATAATTTTATAGCAATATTTACAAAAAATCTTAATCTCTTTTATACCTCCATATTAGCTGGAATATTATCATTTGTGGTATGAACAATAGTTTGATCGAGATCAACTAACAATACTAATTGTTTATGTTTCAATAATCTCTCTTTATCTTCCCTACCAATTTTTTCTGCCAATTCAGCTGTTACTTTTAATTCTGGAACACTGTGAACCATAGGTACATTAGCTTGGGATACAAATGTTTTGTCAGGATTTTCATCAAATTCTTTTCTCAAGTCAGCTCCACATTCAGCACATAAGTCTTTCATAACTGTCGGATGCTTACATCCTTCCATTAGGAGTACAGGTTGCCTATAAAAATAATATCATTGCTTAATTAACGTATTTTATATGTTATTTTTAAACGTAAAAGGAAAATTCATTATAAATTTTATTTTTAAATTTAAGACAATAAATCTGCAAATCTAATGGTAAAATGGTATGTTATGAATAAAAGTAAAGTGGCAATAGTAAATATACAGGAGATATTTATGGAAGGAGATGTTTATATCATACTAATATAGGCAATAATTCATAAGTATTTGATTTAACAAATTCTTAAGTTTATTTAAAGTTTATAATATTAACTGCAACGTGCTTTAATCTATGGAATAAAAAGTAATTTTTGCTTACTTTCATTGGGAGGCGAATTAAAGTATAATAAGTAATTGAATAGGATTGGACAATAATTATTATCCGCTATGCCTTTGAAAATAAGTGAATAATATCCACGTTAACAAGAAAAAAATGTTCAATGTATTTTTATTTAAGGAGTATAAAATCATAATTAAAAATATCTTTTTAAAATTAATGAATTAGATTGTTAATCGAATAATAAACATTTATATATTTATTAAATATTAAAAGATGAAGTAAAAATTTTTTAATTTGTATTCAGTATAAAGTAATTTTAAATCGCTTATAAAATTTCAATAAAAAATAAATGAAGAGAATTAATTAAAATGCCTGTAAATAAATTATAAACGGCGGATATGAAATCTACAAAATATGTAGTTAATTTAATTTGAAGATAATGCAAATGCTTAAGAATAGGAATGCACAAATGGCAATAAGTTTAAGTAGTCGGGAAAGGATTGGAGACAATAACTATGCGTGCAAGTGAAAATTCCAATATCAAATGCAATGCGAATAGTAAGAAACGGGCATACTCGAATGAAAATAAACACAATAGACAAAGCCTTTCGAGGTTAGGGCTCCAAGATGAGACTTATAAGACGTTTTGATACTGTACCCTGGATGAACGACTTCATTATCTTTAACAAGGAGTTTGACAATACGGCCAAATTGCGTAGCTCTCAATTTTTTCTCTATTTGGCCAGTAGCCACATCATGATACAATAATAATATTCTTCCAGCGGTAACCATTGTACCCACTGACACTCTCCACTTCTTGATTCTCGATGGCTGATCTTCTTTTGGAAAGTTTACTTCGACGCTCGACATGATGCGTCACTTAAATTGTTGATTAACTCTTCTCGTGCGTTTGTAGACTACACTATACGTATGTGATGCTATTTTTTTTTTCTTTTTTTTTTTTTTAATATTTTTTTCTTTTTCAATATCTCTTCGGATATTTCTCCCCCTAACCCCGATACTGCGGAACTGTTTTTACGCGGGAGACTGAAAGTGTAAACAGACGCATATGTTGCTGCTCCTCTGCATGCTTTCAAGGGTTTCAACAGTCGACTGCTGCATCATTAAATGCAACCTATGCAATAAAAAAATTCATTAACATAAATGATTGATATACAATTCAAGTTGCTGTTGCATTTGTTTGATTAATCTTATGGTCCCTTGGTTAATAATCACAATAATGCCAATTATTGACTATATTATTTATTAATTGCAGCTCGTATGCATTTTAACGTACGCATTCGCATAAACGTGCGGGCATAGCGCAAGCGTGCGCGTACGCACATAAGTAAGCGTAGAAATTCGATTTAGCCATTAGATTCAAATTATTCAAAATTATTGTGAAATATGTGCTGCCGAGAGACTCGTTAGTTTTAATTTAATTTTAAATTTATTAATAAAACTGAGACTTTGAATTATGTCATAATTGTCGTAAAAATATATTAATGTAAGATTTATAATAATATGCAATTGTTAAGTTTAAATGATTCATTACAATTTTATAAATTACATTAGTTTTATGAATTTGTACACGGGGGCGTGCGCGCGCGCGCGCACACGCACACACGCGCACACACACACACACACTCTCTCTCTCTCTCTCTCTCTCTCTCGCAATTTAATGACTTAGAAAACTTTGTTTCTTGGGACGGCAAACTAATTTATTAAGTAATTTGTCACTTTTACATTTAAATATATTTAAGATATATTTTAAAAATAAGCGAATATCTATCTATTCATACGTGAACATCAAATTATTTTAATTTCAAAACAATCTATGCGATACGTTAGCATAAGAATTATGCGACTACGCACACACGCATATACGCACACACGCGCAAAAAAGCGTAAGTAACGCGCAATGATATTGCGTACGGAAAAGCGCGAAAAGTGTATTAGCAATGTGTTGGAATAATAAGAATGGCGTTGAATGTCGGCGGCACTTGATAGAAGAATTTCAATTTTTAGGCATATAATTTTGTTGTTTTTATTGCAATTTACATCAAGTAAAATTGTGCAATCAGTAAGATTATTATTATTATTATCGCGTATGTATACTTTTTAAAGTTTCTTCAAAAGAAATATTTACAAAGTATTTACAAATTCGAAATGACAATTGTACCGCCTACATCGTACGTACATTGTATATAACCTTTTCAAAATATTAATTTTTCCTTAAATAATTTTCAAATGTTTTTATTGTTATTTAAATGAGAGTAGTTGCAGGAAAATCATCGGCATACATTCATAAATCAATGTGCGTTAGAAAAAAATTATTCTTTTATACAACATAGCAAATAACAATATTCAAATGCCATAGTAAAATTAGATTGTCCAAAGTAGGAACAATGAAGATTTTAAATGTTGCTGAGAAAAATGATGCTGCCAAAAATATTGCAGGATATTTATCGAGAGGCAATTTACGACGGGTACATATTTTTATATATATAGATTTTCAAATAATAAGATTTTAAATCTAACTATAGTTTATCCGTTATATATTTAACAATTGTGTTTTTTTATTATTATTTAAGAGAGAAGGACTCTCCAAATTTAATAAAATATATGAATTCACGAGTCAACTGTGGAATCAAAATTGTCAAATGATCATGACTTCTGTCTCTGGACATTTAATGGGATATGATTTTGTCGGTACTTATCGTAAATGGTACGGTTGCTCACCGCTTACGCTTTTTGATGCACCAATTATTAAAAGTTGTACAGACGCGTCTTATGAGAAAATTAAAAAGACTTTAGAAAAGGAAGTTAAATCTTGCAGCGCTTTAATTATATGGACAGATTGTGATAGGGAGGGAGAAAATATAGGCTTTGAAATAATTCAAGTTTGTCAAGCTGTGAAACGTAATATACAAATATACAGGTATGCTCAATCTTGCGCTTACATTGTGGTTCCAAATGATAATATAATATCGTTTATTTAAATAATTGTATTTTAATATTGCAAAGATTATTTTAACAAGTCGATTAAATGACATAAAATATTAATTTTAGGGCAAAATTTTCTGAAATTACACAAATTTCTGTGGATAGAGCTCTTCAAAATTTAGAAGAACCAAACAAAGCTATAAGCGATGCAGTTGATGTACGAAGCGAACTAGATTTAAGAATAGGTAATGAGATTAATTTGAAAATATTTGACATTGAATTCACCTATTGTATCACATAAAAATTAAAATTTTTACATCTACGCATATAAAATACAATTTTATGATTTTTAATTTTAAACGGCAGAAAAATATTTATTTATCGGAATGATTGCAAATATATTAAATCTAATCAATATTGAATACGTAGGTGCTGCCTTTACAAGGTTTCAAACTATGAGGCTTCAAAAGGCATTTCCTAGAAATTTAGCAGAAAAACTTATAAGTTATGGACCATGCCAATTTCCAACATTAGGATTTGTGGTTGAAAGATTTCTAGCCATTGAAAGGTTTCAATCAGAACCTTACTGGAAATTGAAAGTTACACATTTTCAAAATGATCTTACGGTGGAATTTAGGTATGATATATGAAAAAGATTTCTCAATAAAAAAAAAAAGTGATTTTCTCATTTTAAAAGATTTATTACAATTGGCAAATCCGCAATTCTTTAACAAATAAAGTTTCAAAGCAACAGCTCAGAATAAATTGCTAAATTAAAAAGAAGACAATTTTATTTGCGAAGCCAAATAAAGTTGATTAGTAGTTTTCAAAATGCATTATGCAGAAAGAAAATTTACTAGGACATAAATATATGTATAAGTTTGTTTTATATTTTCCTTGATAAAATTTAAACAGTTATAATTAATATATATTTTTAAATAATCAATTAATTATATTAATGCTTATAAATTAATTATATTAATACTTCGGTATAATACCGATTTTTATTTAACAATTTGATATACCGATGACATTAAATAAAAATAATTAAGATCTATTTACATTTTCAATTTACACATTAGAGAGTTTGTTTACTTTCGATCATACAGTTTTGTATAATTATGAAAAATATCGATCAAATATATCAAATTTAAAAACTTAAGGCAGAAAAATTGATAGCAGTGTTGGCATTACACATTCTCCTAATTATCAAATGTATCTGTATACTAATTTTCCTTTAATTACATTTAATGTTTTAACGTAGATGGGCTAGAAACAGACTGTTTGAAAAATTACCTTGCGAAGTTTTTCTAGATATATGTCAAGAAAATTCACAGGCTACGGTGGAGAAGGTGACGAGTAGACCTAAAAGTAAATGGAGACCATTGCCACTTGATACAATTGTAAATATGTTTGCGTGTTATTATTTTAATTGAACAATAAAAAATAAAACAATTATAGCAATTAATAGTTAATAAATAATCCTTTTAAACTATTGCAGGAATTGGAGAAACAAGGCTCGCGTAAGCTGCATCTCAATGCGAAAGAAACAATGAAAATAGCTGAAAAGTTGTATTCCCAAGGATTCATTAGTTATCCGCGTACCGAAACTAACATATTCCCAAAGGAGATGAACTTGATGCAGTTGGTCACCCAGCAGGCGGTGGAAAACACGGGTTGGGGCAGATACGCGCAACGCGTCCGAGACGAAGGCATAACACCAAGACAGGGCAAAAAAAGTGATCAGGCTCATCCTCCGATTCACCCGACAAAGTTTACCGACTCCTTGCAAGGTACTCTCTCAGCGAGAATGCACATCTTATTAAATTTTTATCGATAACTTAATCATGATGTTGCACGTATTTATCCACGTATTCCACACATCATTATCGAATTGTTACTTCTTGATGATTTGATATAAAATCTTTATCCGTAATGCTCTTAAGAGCCTTAATTATTGTATATTAAATCATTGAAAGAGCATCTTCCGAAAGGAATGAAGAAGAAAGGTTCTTTATAGTTAATATATGATGTGCTTAAATTGAGAAATGAAAATGTATGCCCGCGACTATTGGTTGGGACATAGTTCTAAAGTTAATATAATTTTTTAATGGAATTTTTCAGGGAATGAAGCGCGAGTGTACGAATTTGTAGTGAGGCACTTTCTGGCTTGCATTTCAAAAAATGCCGAAGGACACGAGACGATTGTCGAGATCGATATAGCGGGCGAGAAATTCCTGACAAACGGCTTGCAAATATTAGCGAAAAACTACTTAGAGGTCTATATATACGAGAAATGGAACGCTAAGGAGATCCATATATATGAGCAGGGACAGACTTTTATGCCGACTACCATTGATATGCTCGAGGAGTCGACTTCGCCACCGAATCCCTTGACCGAGGCCGACCTCATTGCGCTTATGGACAAATATGGAATTGGTACTGACGCCACTCATGCCGAACATATTGAAACGATCAAATCTCGCTTTTATGTGGGGCTAAAGGATAGCAAGTATCTAATGCCCGGGAGGTTGGGTATCGGCCTTGTCATGGGCTACGACCGCATGGGATTTCAAATGTCCAAGCCTCACCTCAGAGCTGAACTGGAGAACGATTTAAAATTGTTAGTTTTTCGGCATTTTGTTATTTATTTATTTTTTCTTTTAAACGTGTAATAGTTATGTGCTCTCTCTCTCTCTCTCTCTCTCTCTCTCTCTCTCTCTCTCTCTCTCCCTCTCCCTCTCCCTCTCTCTCACTCTCGCACTCTCATCCTTACTCCTTATACATTCAATTCCCATTAATTGTGTGTTAAAATGAACTTTTTCATTTTGATATAATTATGAAATAGTAATTTATTAATTTATTAATAAAATAATTAATAAAATAATAGATAAATGTATACCGATGAATGTAAAATCACGTTGGTTCTTTAACACCGTTTTTCTTAAATTTATTTATTTTATTATATATACGGGGCACTAGAAAAAAGAATAGATACATTTACTTCAAAGTACGTAAGAAGTACATACGTAGAGAAATAAACATTCCAACAAAATTCGCGTTTACTTACTTTTCTACAGAATTTGCGATGCACTAAAGCACCCTGACGAAGTACGTCAATGTCAAATAAATAAGTACCGCGAAGTGTTCAAGCAGGCCGTGGCAATGGCTAACGTTATCGACACGGCGCTCTCCGAGTACTTGGACGAGCAGCCGTCCAGGATCGAAGCGGCTGATATCCCAGTGACCGTGGAGGACGTGCCCATCCTCAAGTGTCCCAAATGTAATTCCGATATGGTTCTGAAAACGAAGAGGCAAGGAAATGGGAAGTTCATCGGCTGCATGGCCTATCCCACTTGCAATAATGTCATATGGTTACCGGACAGTGTCGAGGACGTGGAGGTCCTGAACGAGGGCTGCAGTCTCGTAAGCTATATTTTCTCGTACCACGTCAATACGAGGAAATTTTTTGATAAATAATGCTTTAATAAAAAGCACTCTCATTTCTTTTATAATTCTCTATTATATCGCTCGATTTATTCAAATTACTTATGAGCTTAAACTCACATCGTGGAACCAGTTGAGGAAATATAAAACAACGATTTCTCATGTACCATAGTGCCCGAGTAACATATTGAAGAAGATAAAGGTAAAATTGAAGCGAAATGCGTTCCCGGTCCTCGGTCCCACCTATACTGCGTGTATAGGGGGCTGCGACACCATGTTCAACAACATGATGGGTGTGTTGGGGCACACGGTCCGACGAACCCAGGGTATCAACGACACCGGCTATGAGAGTAACGTCTCATCGGGTGGACGTTCGACTCAGGTCTCGACTAGGCGCGGGCAGCCAGCGTCGAGAAGTGGTAACGCCGTATCTTCATCGAGAGGTAGTAATGCCCCGGCTACATCGAGAAGTAGTAATTCCACGGCTACATCGAGAAGTAGTAATTCCGTGGCTACATCGAGAAGTAGTAATTCCTTGGCTACATCGAGAAACAACAGTACAGGAGGCCTTTTCGCATCTTCTTCGAGGAACAGCAGTGCCGGGGGTTTCTCCACACCTCGTTCGATAAACAGCAACGCCAGAGATTTTTCCGCACCGATAAACAATGGTGCCGGGGGTTCTTTGACCACTGACATTAGACGAGCACCAACTGCGAGTACCAGCGTGATGAATTATGACTGGGGTAACGAGAACAACACCGAGATCGTGTGCAATTGTCACGAGCCGGCCAAACAATTGGTAGTGAGGAAGGAGGGTCCTAATCAAGGTCAATTTATTTCTTATCGACTGACTTATTATCGTTTATAGCTTGAATTAACTTATAACGACTCGTTTCTCAGTCATTTTTGACCTTTTGTAAAATTATTATCATTTTGCAATTTTACTCTAATGCAAGGTATTTAAAAATTTTAAGCTGTCAGGCACCCATTTAAGCAATGCAGTAGCGTTTTAAAATTTTTACTACATATAACACAAAGTTCAGAATTCGATAAATGTTTCATTATTTTTATTCTAGGTAGACAATTTTATAAGTGCGCCAAGCCAGCGGGAGAGGGTTGTAATTTCTTTCTTTGGAGTACCGAAGCTAATCCCGAACCAGCTAATAACACTACATCATCGATGCAAAGATCATCGCAAAACCATTGGAGCTCGAATCAGACCTTCCAGAATAACGAGCAAAATTATCAAAATCCTTCGAGCAGCAGGCAAAATAGTTGGAATTCATTCGAAAATTCTACGAACTGGGACGATGATACAACCGGATGGAACAGTAGTAACGAAATAATGTGTAATTGTGGCAATACAGCAAAAAAGTAAGATCGATTAACAATTCTATTAATGTAGTACTGTGGCGATGAAAATGCTTTCGTTTATCATTTCAAGTTGACTTATTAGTGCCTTTTAATAAATGTTCATTCAATTATTTTAACGAAGTTTAATAAAGCACTTTAATAGAGCAGTAAATAGAAAATTTTGTAAGTATTTGTAGAGGGGAGGAGGTGGGGCATTGATTAATAAGTTAAAACGCGGATCTTTGTTGCTGTTTTTTTTTTTTCCCCCATATTTCATCATATTTATAGAATTTTTTAATTATTTATTATAATAGAATCTAGACGATGATAATATCTTTGATAATAATAAATTTACACATATTTTGAATTTGCAAAGGCTTATTAACAGAGCTTTGCTGAAAAGTGAAATTTAAATTTCAACAATGCAATCACGTTAGGAGCAGAAGTATATAATAAATATAATATTTATAGCACAATAATTGAATAAAAAGGATGAGATGAAATGACGGAGCTGTCGACTAAATGTTGTTTTAGGCTGACGGTAAATAAGGATGGTCCGAACAAGGGTCGTCAATTTTACCGTTGCTCGCAGAGTTCTGGCAATTCCTGCAACTTCTTCCAGTGGATCGACAACGTCGACAGGGGCTCGTCTGGACAAAGCAGTAGGGCTGACCCGTCGAGAAGGGAAGAGGGCCAGGGAAGAAGACGTGGTAGCGGAGCAATGAGCGGTCCCAGCTTTAGGCGCCCTCGAGCAGCTGGAAGCGTCAGACGCAAATGTGGCATCTGCGGTGTCGAAGGTATTACTCGAAATTCTTGTCTCTATGTTTGTAAGAGGAATGTTAATAAAATAGTACAGGACTCGGTAATCGTTCAGTGATATAAGCCCGTTTTACATTAAATTTTTATTGTGGATCATACGATACGTCTATGAAAAGCGGAAAAGATTTTGCTATTCCTTTAATGTTTTTTTTTCAACTTCTAATTTACGATAGCAAAATTACAATTTTTTTGTCAATTATATCTATTGTATGTACTTTGTAAATACAATTAAAACATTATGTAAAACAGTATTTTACATAATATTATTCTTATATTAATGATTTAAGTGGTTAATTTCTTTTAATTTCACCATTATAGTCAGTCTTAGGAATAATGTTATGATTTTTTTTTTTTTTTATTTTGATAGAATATTTTAATTAAAGAACATAGTGTAGATTTATAGTCTATAGATTAATGATTAAATTTTGTTATCGTTTCAGGCCACACGAAAAGAACATGCCCTCTTAATGCCATGGACTAACGACGAATCAACAAGTTATAATTTACCATCAATTGTACATTACAGACAGACTAACTTATTAATTATTACTTTTACAGTTTTTATATGGATAAATAATTTATTTATTAGTTAAATGTAAATATGATAGATAATGAAGATACATTGGGAAATTTGTGAATACTTTAGTCAATGTCATGCAAAGAGTCAATCATTCTGAATTACAATGAAAATGTACTTTACATTCAACCATATTTCATATATAACATTACATTTATTTCTTTTTATTGATTCAAGTTGCAGTTCGTTTACTAGTATAATGTTTACTACGTAAACTTTCGAGTTCTTCCTTATCAACATTAGCGTTCACAGTAGCTTGTGTTAACTGAAAACAAAAAACAAAAAAAAAAACAAACAAAAAAAAAAACAAAAAACAAAAAAAAACAAAACAAAAAAATTCGTCAAGCATATAATTATATAAATGCAAACATTTATAAATTTAAAGACAAATTAAAATTTTTATATTATATTTTTTATAAATACTTTTGTAAATTTGTCTAATAATTACCATATCCAATAAAAGTTCAAATTTTATTTTCAATAAATTGTTTTCCTCTTCCAGCTTTTTAATTTCCTTTTTTAGTTTTTCATTCTCTTTGAATGTACAGCCTACTTTTCCAGATTCTACAAATAAAATAAATTTTACATTAATTATCAAAGGCTTTACCAACATTTATAAGAATTTTAATATAACTTTACCAGGTACCCATAATCCAGCATCAAAAACTGCTTGCTGATCTCCTAAACAAATTCGAATTTCTCCAATGTTTGGTCCCAGTTCCTTTTCAATCTTTTTAGGACTCAAATCTTTAGTGGACAATGACACCGAAGCTTTTCTCGTCGGTGTTTTCTTTGGAGAAAAGGTAGTTTTATTTAACCAATTTGGCATTTTCATCATTTTTGCTCGCAATTGTTTACATTATTTTTCATAAAATAAAAATACAAGTACAATTGGCTTGTAGTTTGGAACTGTAAATCGACGTGCCATATCAATATATTAATATTATTATAAAAATATTACATTTTCATCTTTAAATTTATTCTTTATAATTATAGTTTTTATTTGCTTTATAAAATTTACATCTCTTATACTAATTGATTGTTTCTTACAAGAATACTTATTATAATTTTTTTTTTCTTCCTTTTTTATACTAATTGATTAAAGAACAAATATTATATCAGACGAACAAATTGTTTGATTGCTTTTAAATGGCTTTACAACTTATTATAAATTCAATTATTATACATTAAAAACTAGTGATTATAGATAAATTTTTAATCATACTGCAAAAATTATATAAGTATTTTTACTTGTATTTTATACAATAAACAGTGGTTAACAACAACACAAAGTTTTTTACTCGATCATTATTTGATAAATTCGCTTTGTTTACATATTTTTAGTTGGCTGGCAACCAATAACCAGATGCGTACGCGCGTGTGTTTGTGTGCGTTCATTTTTGTTTGCTTGCAAACGTTTCCGCAGGTGGCGCCAACGTAGGAACAAAAGTATTTTATCGCTTTATTTTGCAGTTCGTCGGGCATAGCCAATAGTTTTATGGGTTGTCGCGATCTCTCCTCTTCCTCCTCCTCCTCCCCCTCCTCCTCCTCCTCCAAGGATGAGCGATAATATGTTTTTGCAGTGTTAAACGCGAACAAAATTGAAAGTTGTGTTAAACCAAGAGAGAGAGAGAGATGCTGACATTCAGCGATTTTATTAATCATTAATAATTTATAGTTTTACAAATAATTATCGTGTTTTTCATCTTTGCATATAATTACGGCCTTGCGTCGATCTTTATTGTTCCAGTTTTTGAACATTTTGAAACAAGGCTTTAACGCCAATAAAATATTTCAGTGACGCAGAATTTTGAGAAACTCGACTTATCGTTTTATTATATTTAATTTTAAACGGTTTCGCATAAAGTAATAAAATGAGGAGGAAATTTTAACAACATTTCTAGGTTATTTTTGGCATACGTACACTTTGTCATTTTATTATCTCTCTTTATTTCCTATACAATTTCGAGGCTATGATCATTTTCTAGGTAGTAGTACTTTTGATTTAGAAAACCAAGTGATTTTTAAGATATTATGTGGATATAAATGTGCAATTTAAAGAGTATTTTTTAATTTTATCATTCAAGTGTTTTGTGAAATAAAGAAAACGATGTGGCTTGCTTAACATTTATGGTAATAAAATGTCATTGCATTGCGATCGATGCTTGTTTAATATTTAACTGTATTTTAGAAAGAAACTTATTAATTGAAAATTATTAATAATAGATTAATTAATCTGTACTATTTGAGTAATATTTCATGCCCTAACTTGTATATACTTGAAGTTAAATTAGCATAAAAATAAAATAAATATATAACATTTCAACTACCTATTTTCATGGAAAATACTTTTTAAACAAGTTTGTACAATAATTGCAATTATTTGTTTTATTGTTAATGAAGTTTTGAATAGTATAATATATAATACTGAATTTTAATTTTATATTTTTATTTAAGCATTAATGTGAAATTCAGTCAGTGAAATATTTTTAACAAGTAATCGGAGATCATTTATTTTAGCTCATTTATCTAATAAAATATTATAATCGGATACTTAATGATTTTTATAAAATTTCCATGATTTCAGAATTATCCATAAATAAAATAATAAGATATATATATATATATATATATATAAATCAATAAAAAAGATATTTTTTATATGATAATTATATCTAATGAAATATTTAAATAATTTGATAATAATTTGAGATTAACTATGTAGAATAGTAATTAAGTAATTATGTTGATATAAATATTGGTTGTGTTTCACCGAGTGTAATGGTAATGATATACAATAATTAGAAATATAGAATGTTTCAAGCTTGTAAATATAAATCTTTCATATTTGTATTAATATCTGTTATAAAGTTATTTTAAAAAATTAATGCAAAAAAATTAAGATTTGATTCTCAGAATAGACTCTTTGTTGTTTTATCTAAGAATGTATTCTAACGAGCTAATAAAATACTTTTGATTAATATTATTTTCTAAAATACTAAAATAATTTTTTTTCTTGAGCTTGTACAAGTAGAATTCAAGTAAGTGTAGAATAATTAGAAAAACCATGTTTGCTCAATAGGTGATCTGGAACAATAGATATTAAGCCTGCGATTTCTGCTTTGCCGTACAAGTATTTCTATGATGTTTCCATCAGGTCTCCGCTGTAATTTGTCATTTCCTAGCTGCCTTGGTTATCCTCAAGACAGCGAAGAATTACTTCCCAGAATGGCTCGTGAGCCAATTACACTTAATGTGTACGATATGGTAAGAACTAATAACAAGTTTCATTTGTTTTGAAAGCATCAAATTTTGAAAGTGTTTTAAATAATTTAAATTTATACTGTTTCAGTTCTGGATAAATGAATATACAACTCCAATGGGCTTAGGAGTTTTTCATTCTGGTGTTGAAATATATGGAACCGGTATTTCAGTAACTTATTTAATTTACGGCATTTTATAAGCGAATACAAATTATATTAAAAAATTGATGTATTACATTATATTTTTATTATAACTAAATATAATTGATTGTAAATTTTTATATTTTATAATGTGTAGAATATGCATACGGAGGTCACTTACTTCCTATTAGTGGGATATTTGAAATTTCACCAAAAACTGCCGATGAATTAGGAGAGAACTTCAGATTTCGGTAAATTTAATTTATATAATGAACAATGTATCCGAAATATATGAAATCTTTAATATACTGAATTATTTGTTTTTTTAGACAATCCATTCATATTGGATACACAGATTTTACCGAAGAAGATGTTTCTCGAATAATAGATGAATTGGGCAAAGAATTTAGAGGCGATCGTTATCATCTAATGAATAAGAATTGTAATCATTTTAGCTGTCAATTAACTCAAGTACGTCGATGCTTAACTTTTAAAGACTATTCTGTATATTATTGTTTCATTGACAAAGTGAGAAAATTTATCTAAATTAAATTGATTCTGAGGATAAATTTATTTACAAAGTGAAAAATTGCTCGTAACTTCTATCGTTGGCTACTACATTACGCTACAGAAGAAAGTCCGTTAACTGAATTCATGCAATTTATAGATCACAATCTTGAATAATTTATCGAGATACTTTGTACGCATGTTAATAAGAGCGCATTAATAACATTAATATTAACACAACTACTAACACTATTCAATATAATAACATAACAATAACAATAACAATAACAAAAACAACATATACAATAACATTTATCCACGTATTTAAATTTTTCTAATTAGACAAATTTAAAATTATTTCATTAAATTTAAAAAAAATATAAAAAATCCAGTTGAAAAGACAAGTAGGTTCATTTTCAAGGTATATGAATGCATAATAGTAATAATTGTACCAAACACATAAAAGAAACTAATATTTATATGTAATATTTTTTACTTTATTACACGTAATTTTCATCGGGACATTTATATTGGCATGTAATCTATTTGATACTTGTGGCTATACAAAATCCGCCATAATGTGATATCAAGAAAATTTAAGCACAGCCTAAGAACATTTATTCATTACTAATAAAATTAAATACAAAAATAATTGTCGACTCCGATCAATTAGCTGACATTAGCTGTTTATTCGAGCTCTTGAACTCCCTTTACACGAGTGTCGAGCCTGATTAATGCGAAAATTATGATTTCCAGTCGAGTCTTTGACAATCTCAAATACAATGACTATCACAGCTTATCGCCTCTTTCAGATTCTATGCGATCAGAAGATCCCGGGCTGGGTGAATCGGTTGGCATACTTCAGTTCCTGTGTGCCGTTCCTGCAGCGTTGTCTACCTAGAGCTTGGCTTACGCCAGTCGCCCTTCAGCATTCGCTCAGCCAAGTGAGCCATAGCGAGAGCAGTCCGCCTTCGGAAAAGTCGTTATAGCTGGCGCAGCATCGTCACGGTCGCTATCGACGCTGTGGCGATTTGTTAAGTAATGGGAACGGCGATGGCAACGAGAATAACGACGACGATGACGATGACGACGGGGCCGTGGACTGTAGTAGGAGTCACAGTTTCTAGATAATTAGGGGAGCGTTTGAACGAACTTTGTTTGCGACGAGACGCGCACTTCGACAAGTGGCAGTAAGTTATCCGTTATACCGAATGAAACTTTTTGCGAAATCATTGTATACTAGTTCAATCTTAACTTATCTGACCGTTATTATTCTTTTTGCGTTATCTTTGATTAAGTATTTCAACATTGATATTGACTTTACGTTCGACTGAGATTATATTGGGGACATTGTAGCTACCAAATATATGTACGTATACACATGGGTGCTTTTGTATTTTTTACTTGTTTCTTAATGAACGTAAATGAGATTTTGAAGAGCTCTTGTCATTATATAAATTAAGTAGGTCTGAACATAATATTTTTTATTTAACTGAACATTATTATTATCTGAACAAATAGTGTATTTATAATAAATTGTTCAATTATTCAATGCTCTTATTCAGAATATGGACTCTCTCTCTCTCTCTCTCTCTCTCTCTCTCTCTATATATATATATATATATATTTAACGATGAGATTCTTGAAATTTAACTTTCTTTATAGCCAGAAACAAGTGAAAAATTAAAATATATTGCAATTAAAAGTCAACTATGTTTTATTAAATTGTGAATAAATTTTGTTATTAAGTTTATTAAATACTTTTTTATCCAATGAAAATATTAACTTTTCTCGTTAATTTTAATTATTATTGATTAATTAGTTTATATAAAAAATTGTAGGTGAAAAACAAAAATTTGATATTCGTAATAGAAATTCTTTTATGTTAAATTTTTAAGTAAATTTTATTTTCAAGCATTTAATTCTTATAATTAATAAACTCCCAAGATATATTTTCGCCAAAGTTAGAGTTACAAAATGAAACGAATTTCATAATTACATGTACGTAGTTGACAAAGAATATATAGATAGTTTTAATAACACATTTTTCATTCGATAATATTTTACACTGTAATTTTTACCTCAAATCTTATGTAATTTTTATAGTAGTTAGGCATTATTTTTATATTTGAATTATTATTTTCAAGAGATATATAATTTGTGATACATTGCCTTTTTAAATAAAATTAAATTATAGTTCTTATTTATTATAATTAATATATTATTATCAATTATAAATATAAAATTTGATATACATATAATGATAATTCATATATAAAAACTCTTTTAGCATTTATCGGAAAATGTATAATATATTTCAAAATATTTTATTGTTTTATAATTTATGATTGTGGGATTTCTATGAAAATCCACTAAAAATAAAATAAATCACGAGGAACGAATAAAATTAATAATTTTACATATTCATTATTATATACTTTTAGATAAAAATATAAAAGAAAAAGCTTATTGAAATTATTTAAAAATAATTTTATATTCAAATTTCACTAAAATATGATTTATAAGAAATAGGTAAACATTTTTATTTCTTAACAGTTCAAATGTACATAGCGCTTTAAGTCAAAATAACTAACTTACTGCCATTTTATCTTATAAGTATAAATGTACAGAGCCTAAAGTTTGCGAAGGCATGGCATGGCTTATAAAATTTGAGGCGGCATAAGATCGTGTAGTTTACACGAGAAAGAATTGCCTTCCTTGTAATATTATACATAAATATTTAGAAGAAGATAGAATCAATTATTATATATATATATATATATACATATATATATATATATATATATAATAATAATAATAAATATACTTAAATATCATAATACTTAAAAACCATGAAAAAAACTAATAGAAGAAAGACAAAGCATTGCCGAAAAATCAAACATTATGAGGAGACTGAAGAAAGAATCTTTTACTTAAAGGTATTAAAATTAATTTTAATTTAATTTAATGAGCTGAAATTAATATTGAATTTAATCAAATAATGCTTTTTTTTTCATTTTTCTTTTTTTTTAAGAATAGAAATAAATTAAAATTCTTACATTGTTATTGGATATATGAAAATTCTAGTGAAAATATTTTATTTAAAATTCAAGAATATTTTAGAATATATGAAAATCTAAAAAAATGTTGATTTAGTTCTTTTTTACCATTTAATGTTAATTACATTATTTTATAGAAATATTTTTGTAATAACTGTTATACTAAATAAATAGAAAGGGCAAATTTATTTTTCAATAATAATTAGTACTATAAATATGTAAGAGTTTTTCTTAAATTTATTGAAACATAGATCTTAAAAGTATACAAGTACTTATATTTTAGCAATTTTTTAACTCAATACAAATTTTTTTATTCAGTACAAAATATGCACAAAACAATGATATTAAAATTTTCTTTAACGCTTTATATTCCTGAAGTTATAATAGAATATCAAAAAATGGTGTAAATATTAAAAATCAATATCTTCATTCTTAAGATACTTTCTTTCAAATTATATATGAGTATCTTGCAGAAAATGATCAAATAGTGTGATCATAAAAAATAAATGCAAGAAGAGTAAGAGTGAATAAGCTGAAGGTAAATCTAAATAAATTATGATTATTTTATTTATTTGATATTTTAGTTAACCAGCAATAATTAAAAACTGCAAGTATGAAATGGAAATTGTATAGAAATATTCTTATTTTAGTCGATTGTATTTAATTATATGTGAATAATTTTTTTTTTAATTTAAAAATTTTTATATTTTCATATAATATTGGTAGTAATTAGTTTGAAAATTGCTTAAAAATAGACTTTTTTTTTGCTTTGTTTTTTTAATAATTACATTAGAAAAATGTAACTTTTAAAATTCAATTCGACACTTATAAATCATCGATGTACGTATAAAAAAAAGCTAAATTCTATTATTACCTTTACGTCATTATTTTTAATTGATAATACATTTGTAAATTCTGCAAATCATTAATACAAACTTTTTAAAATGTTATTTTTTAAATGTATTACTGTATAAGTAAGAATATTAAGATAAATATTTAGTATGTTTATTATAAATAATATTTAATCGACAATATTTAATATACTTCAATAACAATATTCCTATTTATGATATAATTTCTTATTACAGGCTTGATGCAATTAATATGATATAATTTCTTATTACAGGCTTGATGCAATTTTATATTTTTTTAAAAAAAAAAAAAAAAAAAAAAAAAAAATTACTCTTAACGGCTCGATTATATTTAAAATTTTTATCTGTTAAGTAATTCTTTTAATAGCTAATAATAAAAATTTTATTATATTCGACCAAATACAGAATTCGCTTTAATGTTCATGTCAAATAATATATTTCATATGTGTTGAAATTGTTTTTATTATAATTGATTTATACTTTTATTAAACAGCATAATTTTATAAAAATATTAATTGTAATGTTAATAAATATACAATTAGAAGTTTATGAAATAACGTCAAAAATGGGATGTACATGTAACGTTAAAAAATTATAAATACAAGGATACGAAATCTCTGTGTTGTGTTGTGTTGTGTGTGCACGCGCGCGCGCGCGTGCATGAAAAAGATAAAAGAATCATATTGTTAGTCGAATCATATTAAAATCGATGCACTTAAGTACTTGTATACTTGCACAATTCATTGTATGAATTATTAGTTTTCGTATCTTGCAATAAAAAGAAATATCAAAATTCATTATCGATTATTTATGAATAAATAAAAATTAATCGGGGTAAACTAGAGGAATAAAAAGAATGGGAGAATTTATGTAAAGATAGAAGAAATTAAGAATGTTGGAATATTGTTATTGTTTAATATATGTAGAATCATGATTGCGCTCATATTTCTTCAAGTATCGATCGATCAAATCGTTTTAATGAAATTTTCTGCGACGAATACTCGATGGATGAATTATTCTTTTGTAGTTTCAACCTTTCATCCATACAAAATAAATTATTGCAATTTTTTAATAATAAGAATGTAGTAGCCGATATATGTAGATTTTAATGTAGATGCTTAGTCAATAAGTGGTTTTTAAAAACCAATTTTTTTCAAACAAATAGCTTTTTCATCTGTTTAATATTTTATTGAATTTATTTTATTTCTCGTCCTTAACTCATATTTACATATAACTTAGTATTCGATTTACCATGGATTTGATAGTATTAATAACAAATATACCGATTTTAAATTGTCAGCCTCCTCTTCGCCTTATATATTATATAATTATAATTTCTTATAATTTCCAATTGCTAAAGAACGTGTAAAGATTTTTATGCATTATCGACATTTCTCTATTATTTCGTCAATAATTTTATCTCAAAATGTCAGTGAAAGAGTTAGACTGAAATACAAACTGAAAATAGTACACCTTTCATATTCATGGGTAATTTATTATTTATGGTTACTGCGAAATTTACATAGATTGGTTAACATTATTGTAAAAATTTATTGTAATGTTATTGCTCAGTATGTACATTTATTTCTTATTCAAAGGAAAAGAAATGAATAGAATTGAAGAGTAATTAGAAATTTTTTACTTATTTATTAATTGCGTACATTGTCACGTCTTTCATTGTATTATTACCTATTCCTAATGCTACAATACAAAATTGTAAAAATAAAAGAAATACAATAAAATTATAAATGTTGCGTAATAGAGAATATGAAAGAATAATAAAAGTAACAAATTGATAGGTAGATAGAGATAACTAGACACACATATATATATATATATATATATATATATAGATGGATGGATGGATGGATGGATGGATGGATGAACAAATAACAAAGCGAGAATGAAAAGTGGAGCGTTTGGATAGAAATATACGGTAGCTTGAATAAGCAAAGTGATATTTTTGAAAAACGCTCGTCATGCTCGAGAGGTCGACAATATTACCAAAAATTATTGCTTATTGCCGCTATCTCGTAAAAATACTTTTATTTATTTATTATATTTTCAATTTTCATACAGTTCGCTGAATTTATGCTATAGTGCATATCATTCGAAGGGGCTTTTCAATTTCTCGTTCGTTAACAAGTCCTACGCTTATCATATGAACAGTCGCTTAATTATGTACTTAAATGCCAAAATGATGGTGCAAATGGTCGAAAGGAACCGTCGGACGATACCTTATGAAGCTCAAATCTTATACAGATATTTAGGTTTAAGATTATCAGTGCCAATATGCGAGCATTATCAGGTGGAGTAGTACAAATGTTCAATGAGTTTTATCCTCTCATTCGTGCTCACCAGTCGCTCACC